ATCTTCCTCGTACCAGTCGTCCAGCACCGCCTCTTCCTCGTAGATGTCAATTCGGTAATAGTCCCCCTCTTCCTCCTCCTCTGCCGGGACCCACGCGTCGTCCCTGTTGTCCCAATTCCTGATGCCACCGCCTCCGACCCAGGGTCCCTCCTCCGGGTCCCGGAACAACTCGCCCGCGCTCTGCTGGTACGAAACCTCCCGGATGGAGTGGTCCCATCCGCCCATGGCCCCCACCGCCTGGTCCTCGTCGTCCTTGCCCCACAGCTGGGTCACACACCCGCGGCAGAAGTTGTGCCCGCAGCCGATGGACACGGGGTCCGTGAAGTAATCGAGGCAGATGGCGCACACCGCCTCCTCCTGCAGGGTCTGCACGAGGTTGCGAGCAGGGCGGTGGCCGGCCATCTCGATGCGCCGCCGGCAGGTGCTGGCGTCGAGGAGCGGGACGCTGTGACCGACTCCGGACTCCTCCTGCTCTTCCTCCTCCTCCTCCTCCTCCCTTCTCTCCTCTGGTATTTACAGGGTTAACATAACCTGAGAGATTACTAGTCATCAGACACTACATAGCACTTCACATATTTGATCTCATTTAATTTTGTAACAACCTCATAAGGTAGCTGCTATCATTAATTCTTGTTTTATAGTCAGGAAAACAGAGATGCAGTGAAATGAACTAAGCCTACCAGAGGACCAGATCTGGGAGATGAGGGCAGATTTGCTGGCCCCAATGCCTGTGCTCATAATCTCTGGCATAGTGATGTCTTACCCTCAGCATCGAAGGAACAAGGGAAGGAGCCTCGGATTACTGGACACTAAGAATAAATTGTTATTGTTCAGCAGAGTCTTCACTCAGCAGGAATGGGGAAGGCGTGGAGGCGGAGGAGCGAGCGGAGCTATCGAGAGAGTGAGCGAGTGAGCGGCCTGAGATGCGCGCAGCTGCGGGCGGCCCTCGTGCTGGGAGGACTCAGCCTCGCAGCGGCCGCGCTCCGGAGTGGGACGGAGGAGCCACGTGGGGCTGAGCTGGCGGTAGCGTGGAGTGGCCTCGAGGTCCACGTATCTGTCTGGGATTTGTGTGCCTCCAACTTACCTTTTCAAACCGGTGCGCCCTTCCTTGCTGCCTGCAGAGCCTCGGCTTCCAGCCCTGACTTCTCCCGTCACCTTCACGTCTGCGATCATCTCCACCGCCCCGCCGCCCCTCGGGCACCGCATGCCCGCACCAACTTCTGTATACCCGTGCCCCTTCCATTCTTCACCCTCCATTCACCACCCGCTCGCCCATCCATGCATTTTCATTCTTCTATCCAGTCATGTATGCGTGCAAAATCCACTCCTTTATCCATCCACTCCAATCTATCCACGTTACAGGAACAGCAGTAACAAAAAACGGGTAAAATAATTAGTCCCCTCGAGGAGTACAGAGTTATAGGCGTGTGGTTACCGTCCATCAAAGGTTCTCTAAGCGGTTTTTTTTACTATGTTTTACCTGACCCTCAGTGAAAAGTATATTGCACATATTGATCCAATACAGACATATGAAAAGATGTTCAATGTCACCAGTCATCAGAGAAATGCAAATTTTAACCACAATAACATATAACCTCACACCTATCAGAATGGCTACTATCAATAAATCAACAAACAAGTGTTGTCAAGGATGTGGAGAAAAATGGAATCCTCAAACACTGTTCATGCGAATCCAAATTGGTGCAGCCACTGTGAAAAGCAGTATGGAGTTACCTCAAAAAATTAAAAATGGAACTGCCTTATGACCCAGCAATTCTACTTCTGGGAATATATCCAAAGAAACCCAAAACACTAATTTGAAAGAATATATGCATCAATGATGAGAGAGAATCATGGATCTGCCTCCTGCATCAATGATGAGAGAGAATCATGGATCGGCTGCCTCCTGTACATCCCACACCGCAGATAGAGCCCGCAACCCGGACATGTGCCCTGACCGGGAATCAAACCGTGACCTCCTGGTTTCATAGGTCAATGCTGAAACCACTGAGCCACGCCAGCTGGCTATCCTAAGTCTCTTTAAAAAAAAAATTTTATTCATTGATTTTTAGAGAGAGAGAGAGAGAAAGGAAGGGGGTGGAAAGAGAGAGAGAAAAAAATGATTAATTGTTTCACTTATTTATGCATTTATTGGTTGATTTTTGTAGACAAGCAGCTTTTATTTTATTTTTTTCAATAGTAACATTTGTTTATTGTAAATTACATTTTACATTCAGTATTATCCTGCATTAGTGTTGGGTGTACAACACAGTGGTCAGACATTTATATAACTTATGAAGTGATCCCTCTGGTAAGTCTAGCACCCACCTAGCACAATCCATAGTTATCACAATATTATTGTCTATGTTCCCTGTGCTGTACTTTATGTCCTTGTGACTGTTTTGTAACTACCAATCTGTACTTCTTCATCTTTTCACTCCTTTTACCCAGTTCCCCAAACCCCGCCCGTATGACAACCACCAGTCTGTTCTCCGTCTATGAGTCTGTTTCTGTCTCTCCCTGGCAGACAGGCACTCCCCTGCTTTTCACAGCTGGATGTTATGTGGGTGCCTCTTCCCGGCTCTGGTGCTCTGCACTGGGGAGTGGGCCTGGGGTTTAGACCGGATGCTTCTCAGGGGGACCCCCACAGCTGAGATATCCCTCCGGAACCTCAGCCACTGGCCGTGGGAGGGGGACCAGCGTTTTCTCCTCTCTGCCCTTTGTACCAGTCTCAGCGGTCTATTCTGTAAACCCCTGGTGAGAAGACTTCTCTTCAGCTAGTCTTCAGTTGGTTGTTCAGGACGATTGCTGTTTCATTTAGTTGTAATTCCAGTTTGGTCCTGGGAGGAGGTGAGTGTAGCTTCAGCCTTCTCCACTGCCGTCTTGAATGTCCCACTATCCCGACCTCTTTAGTGAGGGATTAGTTTTGTCTGTTGGTGGACTTCAGAGAAATGAAATCATACAGTACAGTGCTTGCTACCTTACAGTGCATGCTTTTACGTTTAGCTTTTCTCATTTCACTTCATGTGCAGATTTGCCCATGCCTTTGTATGTAGTAATTGTTCATTACCCTTTGGTATAAATACTCCGTTGTGTAAATAGAGCACATGGGTTTATCTGTTCTTCCGTTGGTGGGCATTGGTGCTGTTTGCAGTTTGGAGCTTATTATGGACGGTGCTTCTGTCGTGTGGTGAATATAAGTGTGCAATTCCTTCTGGGCATAAGATTAGGGAGTGGACTTGCTGGGTCAGAAGGATACATATGTTTAGTTGCTAGTACATCTTACTTATTATTGTTTAAAACTTGGGTTTAGCCAAGACCGGTTTGGCTCAGTGGATAGAGCGTCGGCCTGCGGACTGAAAGGTCCCAGGTTTGATTCCGGTCAAGGGCATGTTCCTTGGTTGGGGGCACATCCCCTGCGGGAGGTGTGCAGGAGGCAGCTGGTCGATGTTTCTCTCTCATCGATGTTTCTAACTCTCTATCCCTCTCCCTTCCACTCTGTAAAAAATCAATAAAAATATTTAAAAAAAACACACAAAAAACTTGGGTTTAAAGTCCCCTACACTTTGATCATCTTACTGGGGCAGGTTGGGCTAGACCAGGCTGGGACTCGGAGGCTAAGAGTTACACTTTGATCATCTTACTGGGGCAGGTTGGGCTAGATCAGGAGGCTAAGAGCTGGAGACTATAGCAGAAATGCTGGGCCCGGTCTGTGTGGCTCAGTGGTTGAGCATCAACCTATGCAGCAGGAGGTCACAGTTCCATTCCCCATGAGGGCACATGCCCAGGTTGCGGGCTCGATCCCCAGTAGGGGGCGTGCAGGAGGCAACCCATCATGGATCACTGATGTTTCTATCTCTCCCTCCCTCTTCCTTTCTGAAAGCAATAAAAATATATTAAAAGAAAAAAAGAAATGCTGGAGTCCACCCCCAGGTCTCTCCTTGCCAGAAACCTCCCCAGAGCAGGCCAGCCTGGCACATACCGCCAGTCTCAGTAGCACATAAACTTAGGGAGCTCAGAAGGGGTGTATTCTGACCATCAGGGACTTTAGGGAGACCCCAGCTCTGCCTGTGCCTGACTCATTGATCTCAATGGGCTTTCTCTCCAGTCACCTGCCTAGCTGTTGAAGATGCTGAGTGCCAGGCACCTCCTCTCTGGATCGGGATGGGGCTGGATGGAGCACCAGAAGCCAGGACAGTTCCTCTTGCCTCCTCTGCCCCGGTGCAGAGCAGGGAAGAGCAGGGAGGCCGTGTGCTTAAGAACCACTGGAGAGCCCCTAGAAGCCAGCTCAGGGCCTCCCCTCCTCAGTCCCATCGGACCTGGGGTCAGGCAGGGGCCAGGCTACCCACCTTGGCGCCTGCAGGTCATCCCTCCGTCCCCACCCTCAGCACAGCCTCACTCCCTTAACCCAGCCCAGCGGTAAGGAGGCAGCTCTGGCTCCCTGGTCACTGCAAGGAAGCCTGGAGTGGCCGGAGTGAGTGAGGGTCGTCTTTGTCGTGAGCCCTGGCAGGCTGGCTCCCTCCTCCCGCTGTTGGCCTTGAGGTGAAGCTGTGTGTCTCCATTCTGATCTTACTGTTCCATTATGGGGCAGTTCAGGGGCAAGGAGAGGCTAAAGAGATACCCGCGAGACAGCCTGTGCCCCCAGTTACTTCTGCTTCCACCCTGGTCTGTGAGCTTCTCCACGAAGTTGGAAGTGAAAAAAGATGAGCACAGGGAAGGGGCCTTCCTGCCAGCGTCGTCGCTGACCCCGAGGGCAGCCCCTGGCCGCCTGGGCGGGCCCTGTGTTAGTCACGGGGCGTCCTGCAGACCCGCGTGGGCGCTTGGAGACCTCAGAGCAGAGATGTCCAGAGGGGCTTCCCCGGGGCGACTTGAATTCTTGAGGGTGACCTCAGGCGGGCAGGCTTGGCCGGACAGTGAGGGTGATGGGGGGAGTGCGGGTGCACTGAAGGTGGCTTGTAGGAAAGCCTTGCCATTTGCTGGGTAGGAATTCTAATACTCTTCATTGAATACCCACAATTCATGATTATTCACGAATGAATTCATCAATTCAGCAATAATCCCAAAGCATGACTCCATCGGGGCCACATGAGCAGCCAGAGAAGTCTGCTTGAATGTGGGAGCCTGAACCAAGTCCAGGTGTGGAACCAGACTCCAAGGTGGCCAGCAGGTGAGATCTGTGCCAATGGTGTGGTTTGAGGGATAGGTGATCAGGGTGGACGGAGGCACTTCATTCAGGGGCAGATGCCCTGCCCTGTGGGAGCAGGGGCAGGTCAGCAGGTGGAGAGCCCATGGTTCTGAGCCGAGGGGCCGGTCAGCAGGGGGAGAGCCCGTGGTTCTGAGCCAAGGGCAGCTGGTCAGGGCCCAGGACACAAAGCCAGTGCCCCGCTGGGTGGGGCTGCTTTCCCCGGGGTCTGCGATTTGAGGGAAGAGCCCTGTTCAGCTGTTGTTCTGCTCCTG